TAAGACAAAAAAAAAAAAAAAAAAAAAATTGACCTAACAAGATTCAAATTAACTAATTGATTGAAGTTTCGCTCGGTTAGCAAAATGTGATAAGGTCTATAAATAGAAGAGGACTTCAGCATCACTTGCCACAGGTCTCTTCTTCTTTCTAGTGTTTTTGAATTGTCATAAATAAGGTTCGTGATGTCTATATATAGGTTTCTGTTGCAATCGAATTTCCGTTAGAAACACATCCCGGATTTGAATGGCACAAATTCAAAGCATAATAAATTTAAATTGTTCATAATAAGAAGATTTGGCGATTCATTTGAGCGATATCAATTTTCAGAATCATTCGCAAATTCTATATTTAGAAATGTACAATTTTTCAATAGCTCTTCCATAGAGGAATTAAATAACTATGATCCCTAATAAATCGCTGTTAATACCATATATGGATATATATGTATAATATCACTCTACATCTACAGAGAAGTCCAATAACAACGATCCTCTTGATTCTCTTGCTCTAAGCTTTTAGAAGATATGCCCATAAATCTATAGAAAATCAACCATATATCATTTTTTTCCCCCAGTTGCCCAATCATACGATGGGAGCTCATGGGCTCAAGCTGACACGCTTTTTGAGGGAGAGTCGAATCCTTGAAGGAGAATTGAAAATATAAGGTGAGCAAATTTCAATTTAGGAAGGCAATAATATAAAGAAATTGATCTATACTTATTATTTATAATAAACTATGCAATTTTAACATATTTTGAGTCTGATTCATTGCAGAAAATTAAAGACGAACAAATATTTATTTAAAAGTTTATTTATTATAATTTCGTATTTTCCTTAAATTTTGAAATATAAAGCTTTAATTTATTAAGTATGAGTTGAATAAAATAAAGAAAATTGTAGGCGAAACTTTTTAATTTGAATAATTAGTAATTAGTAATAGTAATTTCTTAAATTTGACTTTAATATTAAATATGGAACAATGAAATTATATATTATGTAAAGAAAAATTAATAACATTTTTTTGTTGGAGAAAATAATTTTAATATATTTATCAATATATCTTTATAAATACTTTGAAATGATTTTAGATACATAAAATGATTTTTAATTTATATACCAGTATATTATATATTTTAAGTATGTAAATGATACAAAGCTTAACAATGGTAAATGTATATGTGTATGTGTATATCTTTAAGAGTTTTAATACATTATTTATGTTCCTAATCTTGCGTATTAATTTGAATGCAAAGCATATATTTTTTAATAATAAATTTTTTTTAACATAATTGAATTTTAAATTTGCATCAAAAATTCGTAAATAAAATTCTGACCAATTATCCAATAAACATTTTGGGATATATTCATGAATATAACGTATATTTTAATTATTGGATAAATCTATAAATATTTAGTTTCATGTAGTAATTTGTATATAGCTTAAATGAATAAATTAATAATTAAATTTTAATTAATTACTAAGTGTTATTGTAGCAAATCTCTTACATAGATACATTTTTTTTTTTCATATATATAAAATATTATTAGACAAATATAAAATGTAAAAAAATCAATATTTGAATATTTGTTTTTAACAAGTTTTTGTTGATATATAACACTCATATATATATGTAGCATATAGCCTCTAACTCTAATATACCCATTACCTAAAGAGTTGTTCATCCAACTATCTGAAGTTAGCCTTTCCTTGGACTGTCTTCAAGCTTGCTCAAGTTGCTGCCGTTGGAAGTAGTTTTGGAGGCACTGTGGCTGTCCCATTCATAGTTCGAGCGGCGGTGTTAATTGCTAAGGGCTCAGTCCCCGAAGTGCCGCAGAGCAACAGTGCTGCAGTGCTGCAGTGTCGCGCATAGCATTGTTGTCGCCCCATAATTGTTGTCGTCAGCCGTCGCTGACTGCTGCTGACTGCTGTCTGTCAGCTGTCCATCAAAGCGTTGCCAAGTTGGTGTTAATGGGCGCCTAGAATGCAATTGCGCAGCTCCCCATCTCTCGCTCTCTCTCTCTCTCTCCCGCGATCCCTCTGTCGAACTGTCCAGCATCTGGTGCAGCTTGTTGAACACGCTGTGCTACGCATGTTTTTGCTTGTTTTTTGTTGTCCTTCGGGGATTACGCGTCAAGTTTCGAGTAATTGCCCCCGTTCACTTTGTTTTTATTATTGTTTGTGGCTTGGTTTTTTTGCCTTGCATTTCATTTATTTTTGGATATGCTTAAATATAAGTATATATATATATATTTATATAAGAAGAAGCCACACACCGACAGCCAAGTCGCCCTCCTCTCAGCAGCAGTGAAAGCTAAGCAGTCGCTCCTAACTCGTTCCCGGCGCCTGTATCTCATTGCCCAGCGCCGAGAGCTCCTTGAGGAACTGCCGCGCATTGGTCAGCGTGGAAGCGCCGTAGATGATGCGCCTGTGCACATTGGACGTTTGCTTCTGCTTGATGAAGTCGACCAGATTCTGATACTCGATGTAATTGCCGCCGCCAACCATGAAGACGACTGCGTCCTGGAATGGTGCGCGATTCTTGGGCAGCACATCGCCGCCCTTCAGCAGCTTGGGATCCAAGTAGAGGTAGTCGTCGGTCTCTGCATTGCTGCGACATTCCATCACTTGCTCCGTGATCTTGGTAACAGGTAAGTTCTGAACGGGAAAGCAAAGTATTTATAATTCTTAAGTTAATCACTTCTCTCTCTCTCTCTCTCTCTCTCTGTCTCGCTCATATGGATACTTACGTGCCGCTTGACCACCAGGTTCTTGACGCCCTCCATGACAAAGGAGCTGCCCTGCGAGACGAGCTTGGTGAACATGGAAACGGTGCGCGTGCCGCCGCCCTCGTACTGCGTGGCCTGGCTAATGCTCGGCGACCGATTCATTATGGACTTCCAGCGCTGCACGTACGCCAAGGCAGTCAGGTCACAGCCAGCGGCTTGGAGTGCTTCGCGCAGGCGTTCGGCCTCCGACTCGGGCAGCTGCTGTGCGCATATATAGTAGATAATGTACAGCCGCAACTTGTCCTCCGGCTGGCCAAACTCGCTGTCGCGCAACAGCTCGAGCAGCGGCTTGTCGAGCGTCTGCTTCGACATGATCTTCTCCTCGATCTCGAAATAGGAATCCAGGCGGCGCGCTTTGATGCAGTTCAGAATTGCTGTGGCGATCTTCGTGTGCATATCGATCAGACGCTTCTTCTCCATGAGCTGCGGCAGCGAATTCACGGCGCTCGTCAGCAGCGCTGTTGTGTCATTGACCAGCGAGAAGGCTATCTCCGATTCGCCCTCGATGCCCATTGAGGTCTTGAGTCGTTTGATCTCCTCCTCGGAGTTGCGATAGGACTCCAGTTCCTCCTGTATGGCCTCGGCCACAGTGGGAAAAGGGCTGCCCTTGTGCGTGACCCAGAAGCGATCGTTGCGATCCAGATCGCAGGCCTTGGGCTTCTTGCGAGCGCCTAAAAGGGAAATGGAGAAGCAATTGGTAAGAACTCCAGGCAAAGATTAGATGAGTACTTGCCCGCACTGGCGGCCGAGTCGTCCTCCACATAAACCAAATTCAAGCCAAGATCAAGCACATCGTGCACCAGCGCCTGGTAGGACCAAGTGTGATGCAGAGGCGTGGCCAGATCCATATTCCTGTCGAGCAGCAGCAGCACGGGACGCTGAAAGCTGAACACTCCGCCGCCGGCTTGGGTGGCATCCATGTGAAACAGATTGGCACGGGCATCCCAGAGATTCTCGCGCAGTTTCTTCTCCAGCTTGCGAGCGACCATCTCGGCGGCGCTGTTCCTCGGACACCGGATGATCGGCACGTTACCCAGCGTGACGAACAGCGCAAAGAGCGAGTCCACAATTGAGTCCATCAGCGCCTCCATCTCCTCGTCGCGCGTGTTGGCTCGATTGATGGCATAGTAGGAGAGCTGGTCGCTCTGCTGGTGCTTCAGTATGAAGAAGTCGTCCTCCAGGCTGATGAAGTTCACGTACTGATCGTAGACCCGATGGATGTTGGCCACGCAGCCGGCGTGCAGTGCGGCTGCTGCTAGGTTCTCGATTTTACTGCGTGTGATGGGCGCCAGGAAATTCAGGTGATAAATATCGTAGAGGCCATTGGAAAAGTCCTGCTGAATCCGGTCCAGATTCTCGTCCGTGGGCAGGCAGAAGTACACGGCAGGCACATCCGGTATAGAGTCGCGATCCGAGTGAAGTTGCCTGCAAATGAAAGAAGTCATTTAGTGTGTCATCTATTTAGCCATGCCCCCTTGACCCCTGACCCATTTCAGACCGCTTACTCACACATGCAAAGTCACGCCCAGTTCTCGCAGCTCCTTTATAGATATAATTGGCGATATTATGTCCTGCCCCACTCGATCGTAGATGAGTATCTTCCACACGGGTTCAGCGGCCAAGACTTTCGGTTGCTGCGAATTTAAATTAAGCATTTGCTTAATTGCATCTGGGAAAACGAAGACAGAAAAGTGAAAACGAGTGCGTTGGCTCTGTTTCTAAGTCGAATTACGTACTTATTTGTCGCTCTCGCAGGGTCAGCATGTTGTTTGTGTTTAGAAAGATAAATGCCCACGTATAAAATATAATTTAATTAAGTAAATTATGTTTAAATAACATAATTTACAAAATACAACACGTCACAAGCGTTTAAAACGCGTTTTTGGACTAATTTAGTGCATTACAATGAAAACAGCTGTTGACTGAGAAATTGTGGCGGTCGCACAATAAATATCAAAAGCAGCTCTTCACAAACAAAGTGCTTCTGAAACAGCTGTTTGGGCCTATCATATATAAAAGAGAGGAGCACCGCTAAGGTATTTCATTATAACTAAATTCATATTTACCAATCTTATAAATTGCGAAAATAGCAATAAAAACCAATAATGCAGTGAAATATATTCGCTCTCACTAAGTTAAAGCTGTGTTTTTAACAGTACTGTTAACTAGTTCGCTCACATTCGGAACTACTCTCATGCTATGTTATTGTCGGCTGAGCTGTTGTTATTTTGCGTCGAACTTTCGAAGTGAACGGACGTGTGTTTGCGGCGGGAGAAGGCATTCGTCACGTATTTAGCACCAACGAAAACAATAATCAAAGTGAATCCGACTGTGAGTGGGTGTGTGCTTTAGTGTTAAGTGCTAGCCGCAATGATTGTGTCAAAGAAATCAAGAGGTCGGCATTTGAAACCCACAAAATGGCAGATGGCGCATCGAAACGTGCTCAACATTTGCCGCCTAACGGGCCGTCGACGTTGCGGCAGACGTGCGGTCAGTTGTTATCATTTCTTCAGGCATAGCCGCGGCTTCTTCTGGTTCATTCTCTGCAATTTGTTGCTCACAGCAAACAACAGTGACGCCCAACTTCTGATAAATGTACAAAATCAGGTATGATATATATGTGCGCTCTTGAATTGCTTAATTGTCTCTTTTTAATTTGCTTAAATGCAATGTGAATGTCAAAAATGGCGCTGACTGCGCTGCTAGCGTTGCTGCTGTTTTTCGAACACTCAAATTCGAAATTGAGCGCGTCAAAACAAGAGAACGGCAATGGGAGAGAGAGGAAGCGAGAGCGAGAGCACGTTGGCAAACATTTGTTTTTATTCATCAGCTGCGAGTTGTGTGCGCTTTGCTTTTTTGTTTTGTTTTTTTTTTTTTTAATTTGTCTGGTGAACTAATTAAAATTGTTAATTAATGAGAGTCGATGCTCGTCCCACCCATTTGTTAAATACGCACAGCTGCCCTTGAACTTATTTTCTCTTCCTCTTTCTGATTTAATATGGCTGTCATTAGCGCAGCTCGCTTTGACAGTTTTCACTTTTCGTTTTGGTTTATTTTCGTAGTATTTGTGTTTGCACGTGGCTTACATCGCATCATAATATTGACATTTGCTTTAGCTTTTCTATAAATTTTATATTACCTTTGCCAAAAACTCGCGTACAACAAAGCCCCTACATGTGTGTGCGTGTGTGAGTGTGTGTATGAAAGAGAGCGCTCTTGTGCTTTATTTTTTTGTTTATATGTGACATCCTTTAACATTGCTGGCTGCTGGCGTGTTTTTGTTGTTGCTGTCCCTGGCCCCAAAATGTCCGACTCTGTCGACGTCGCTGCTAACGTCGCTGTTACAGCTACTGCTCTCAGTGTGAGCTTTGTTTACATTCGCTTTGTTCAAACTCACAAAGGCAATGCACACACAAACAGACCACAGTACACACATACAGACACACACTCACAACAGCCGCTTACAATCTCTCACTCATGTGTATATGTATGTATGCACGTGCAGACCCAGCTGAACTTTTCGGCATTCGCAATTTGAATATTATTTGCATTATTTTCGGTGTGTAAATGTCAGACATAGTATTTCTACTATAAAGTTGAATGAGAATAAAACAACGTATATCTTTATAGATGCAGTGTAAACAAATTAATATTGAATGTTGGCAAAGATATAGCAATTAATTAAAAAGTTCCTAAATGGATTGTCAGTTGATTAGATATTAATTTGACATTTAGCTTGTCAGTTTTACTTGACAACAAAATGGATTTGACAACTCATTTTGAAACAAAATTCTGACAGATTGACAGAATTTGTAATAGGTTAAGGATAAATTTAAATTAAAATGTGTTTAATTTCTTAGGAATAAAGGTATTACTATAAATATAAATACATATATATAAATATATACTACTGTTTTAAATCAAGAATAATAATATAAGGGAAGAAAAAGAGAAATTTAATAGTAGCTTATCCTTTTTCCTTGCCATGACATTTGCTAGAAACAGAAAAACATAAATGTTTCGGTTGGTTTAGCTGGGGTGCGCGACTGTAAGGACGATTCTGTCGTGTATAAATTGTAGCTGTAGCTGTTGTTGTTGTTGTTGTTGTTGTAGCTGTACTAGTTGTTGTTTATTCTAGTTGTCATGTTGTTGAACTACATTTGGTGACGAGCGGCCGCCTCTAGAGTCGCATTCACAACAATTCCTCATCTCGCCTTGCATTTTCACTATATTTTCTGCTCAACTCTCTTGACTCTAATTTGGTTCAGGGACGCGGCTCAGATGCTGCTGCTGCTGTTGCTGCTGCTACTTTGGCTTGCAGTTAATTTGACTTCTGGCAGCAATGTCTTGGGTTTCCCTTCTGTTCTCTCACTCTCTATTTGCCCTTTCTCTTTCGCTCTATTAATATTCTAGTTTCGTGTCCAGAGTCTAGTTAACATCTAGTTGCCATTGCACTTGTTGCTGCTTTGACTGAGTCGCCTTTATCTTCTCCTCTTGCAGGGTGGCGAAGTGATACAGGAGAGCATTACGTCCAATATTGGCGAGGATTTGATTACCCTGGAGTTTCAGAAGACAGACGGCACTCTCATCACGCAGCTCATCGACTTTCGCAATGTAAGTAGCAGCAGTGAAAGAGAAAATGAAAATGGAAATGGAAATCGAAATGGACAACAATGACAACAACAACAACAACTACGTTCTCTATTTGCAGGAGGTTCAAATCCTCAAGGCTTTGGTGCTGGGCGAGGAGGAGCGCGGCCAGAGCCAGTATCAGGTGATGTGCTTTGCCACCAAATTCAACAAGGGCGACTTCATCTCCTCGGACGCCATGGCGAAGCTGCGTCAGAAGAATCCACACACGATTCGCACGCCCGAGGAGGACAAAGGTCGCGAGACCTACACGATGAGCGGCTGGGTCCAGCTGAACCGCTCGCTGCCCATCACACGGCACCTACAGACGCTTTGCGCCGAGGCCACCGACGCCACCTACGTGCGGGACGTGGACCTGAAGGCGTGGGCGGAGCTGCCAGGTGAGCGGAAGTCGAGATAATTATTATTTGATTAGCAGAAATATGAAAAGCAAAGCAAATCTCGCTCTTGAGCAAGTTTTCAATTATTTCTTGATTAACTCTGCACGAGTGGAGCCACAGAATTTGTAGCATTTGCATGTACAGTGAAGATTTATTGAGGTGTAACGGGGCTGTTTAACTGAGTTTAAGCTGCCTTTACTCAAAGGGATAATTCAATATGTATTCCCTATTTTAGATATTCATAAGACATTTCCTTTCCCAACAAGCATGAACTGCTAAATGGGCCTCTAGATTTTATAGACAAACTTGATCTGACTCCATCTCATTTTGGCCTCTTAAACCCAATGGATTTAGAAAAATATTCCCTTTAGTCTGCTTTTACTGTATTTTGGAAACTTTGCACCTGCATGGTGAAAATTTGTTTTAAATTGCATGCAAATGTTGCTAACGAGAATTTTTTGTTTTTCAGTTGCGAATTTAGGATATCAAAATATACTCATTGAAAGGAAAATTCGGGGTATAGTTTTTTGTAAGAATTTATGTAACAGATAGAATGAGGCGTGGCAGATAACATTGATGATTATAATGAAGTGATATCATTAGATTAGGGATCATTAGAATCTATATAGTATATTTAGAATCTCCGATCTATGAGGTATTCAAGAGACGCTTTAAAGAAGCAAATAATGGTGTTTATTTATCGATAAAATGAGATAGAATGAGTTATTGAAAAAACGAAAATAAACTCGTAGTGAGTTGGCCTTACAGATATATATAATTAAAATTTCAAGTCTCTAGCTTTTGTGGTTTACAAGATTGCTGCGGACTCGTCAATTAGCTTTGTTACCATAGAAATTGCTGATTTCAAATTGAATGATATAACTATTTGATTTTGTATGCCTTTAAAATATTTCAATTAGTGCAGACTTTTGCTTGAAAAAAGACTTGATTAGGAATGTTTTATTATTATACTCTAAAGAAATCATCGAATGCTTCAAAGAGCAGCTCCGCTCAGTGTTTAGGGTATCTCCTAGTCAGGCACCTCCGAACGGAGCACTCCTGCCAATTTGAACTTGTTTTCGCCGTTAACCAATTTTTCGTTTTGCTTATTTTTTGTTTCAATTTTGTCTGCTGTTGTCGTGTCGTGTCTCGTCGTTAGGCTCCTCGATTTCGAGCCTGGAGGCAGCGACCGAAAAATTCCCGGACGCCCTCTCCACGCGCTGCAACGAGGTGAGCAGCCTGTGGGCGCCCTGCCTCTGTACGCTGGAGACCTGCATCGGCTGGTATCCGTGCGGGCTGAAGTACTGCAAGGGCAAGAGTCTGGGCAGCGACACATCCGGTGCCCAGGCGCAGCAGCAGCAGCAAACGAATTATCGCTGCGGCATCAAGACCTGCCGCAAGTGCACACAGTTCACCTATTATGTGCGACAGAAACAGCAGTGCCTCTGGGATGAATGACGACGCGGCGAGCTGCAGATGCTGCAGATGCAGATGCAGATGCGCTGCGCCCGGCAGGCTGCAACAGCGACGGCGGCGTGCGATGCAGCAGCAACAGAAACAACAGCAAAGACAATAATAGCAGCAACAGCAACAGCAACAAAAACTAAAGCAACAGCAACAGCAACTGCAACAACAACGACGAGCAGAGTGACAACGACCAACAAATTACGCCAACTGCTTTTGTTGGTGCAACAGCAGATGCCTTTTGCACTGTGGAGCTTTCCGGTCCATCACATTTCCCATCATCCAGCACACACACAGACAGATACACATACACATACACATACTCAGGCTCATGCTCATGCTCGGAGCCACACTCAGGGGCATCAACAGGAGCCGCTGTCATCTCATCGTCCATCCACAATGGCCGCCAATGTGGCGTGATAATGCGCCAGCAACTCGGACAGGGATATCCATTAAACACATATTCACCCATCTGCCCCAGGAACTCATCCCACTTGACACTCGTCTCTCTTAGTTTGCATTGTTTTCTACTCATGTATGGACTGTATATATGTAACTATATGATTAGAAATATTGCCAAGCTACACTACGCTTAACGCCGCTTAGGTTAGATACAACATTTATGATAATACGCAGGGCAAAACCTTGTTTGAGCTGCAAAAGACAACAAACTAAAAAAAAATAAAAAAAAAAAAAAAAAAAAATAAGAAACATTGCATTTTTTTGTAAAACTCGAATATTTTAAAAAAGTTTATATTCATATATCATTTTCATAATCTTTAACATTCATCAATTTTCTTTGCTGCTTTCTCGATTTGCTTCCTCAACAAATTCTGGGTCTTAGCTCATATCTTACTTTACGCCAGAAGTTTCGACATTTGATAAACCTATATATTATATGTTTATTTTTATTTTTATCATCCTTAAGGCTCTTCGAATATCTTAACTTTCTTCTTTACACATTTCCTAAGTCGAATTTCTATTCAATTTCCCAAAACCAATTGCTATTCATGGAATTTGTCTTCCATAGATTCAACAATCAATCTAAACACATTTTAAACAAGTTTTCTTTTGCTGGCGACTCACATTTTTCACTCCAAATAAGTTTCAAGTGCTGGAGCAAAGAAATGGAAAATGAGAGTGGAAAAATGTGAAGTTTGCCAAACTATTTGAGTGCCCAGTAAAAGTTGCATTTTATTAAAAAATCTTGTTAAAACTTGAACTTTGATTCCATATTTTTCTCCATATTCTTAAAACTTTGATTCCATAATTTTCACCCTCAGCTCGAACTCAACTTTGAGCTTGAGCTTCGAGCAATTTTCGTAATTTCTCTCTTGTTCCTTCTTAAAAATTGCTCTACATTTTGCTTATGAATTTTGCTAATAAGATTTTGATATATTCTTAAATGTTATATTCTGTAGTTTACATATGAAATGTGTTTAGAAATGTTTTTTTTTTTTTTTTTTTTTTTTTTTGATTCATTTTACATTAGGTTGATTTAATTTTTAAATTTAAATATTAACCTAATCTTCCCAACATTTTGCATTTAACATATTCTCATTCTATCATCATTGTTCATCTTTAGTGGCTAATGCTGTTATTAACATTCTTATTGGAAGTTTCGCGGTAATTTAACATTTCTCTCAGCTCCGCTGTTGACTGTGTTTTACATTACCTCCATTACATTTATCATTCACAACTTTTACAACTACCTCATTGTAGAATCTCTCTCTCTTCAGTATTATATCATACCAAGTGTATATATTTGATCTTAACTCTTTAATGATTTTCCTTCTTCCACTTCCACTTCGCCTTCTTCCTTTACTTTGCGTACACACCTGCCTTTTTCCGCTGTTTATCTTTGCGGTCTATGTTAAATAATGGCTCATTAACTTTATTTACGCAGTTCGACAAATTTGCATTGTCCTTTTCGCCCAATCTCTCGCTCTCTTCCTCTTTGTACTACCCACTCGTTTGTCATAATTAATGTGTACATAATACAAATGGTTTGTCGCTTCATTAAATGTTCGCTTTACGCATTTTCCAACTCAATCATATTATCATTTTCCCTTCTTCCAAAACCTAAACTAAAACACGCAGCTCAAGAAATACATTTAGAGTTATAGATATAAAAGAATAATAATAAAAAGATAAAATTAAATGTGGCCTTAGCATATTTTATGAGCGTAAAAAAAAAGTTTGTAAAATTCTAGGATTTGAAAATAAACACACTTACAAACACACACACACATATACACATACACATACATACGAGTTGTACTGTCTGAATTGTGCTCATAATAGAAAAGAAACTTTTACTTTCTATATAAGTTTAGTTTATAACTGTTCTATATACTATATATATAGGAATACTAACCACAACGACTGCCGCAAATGCTTTTTATATAGTATAAAGAAAAGAAAGAAAAAAAACTGAGATGAAATGAAAACCCCAATGAAATGGCTGTTCAAAATCTAAAATTTTCCAATTGATTCTTTTCTCCTCTAGACTTTTTCCATATACATAGAACGCCCTGCCTTTAACTCGAAAAATTTACTCATATTAATTTCGTATTTGAAAAAAAAAAAACCTAAATAATTAATATACCTAAACAAAATTACAAACAATACCAAGAACAATAATCTATTGTAAAATTTCCAAAACTAGTCTACTTAGAAATGTTAGAATGGCTATTTTCCTAAAAGCATACTATAAAAACAAATTTGAAAATATATTGAAACATTGTACACAGAATTTAAAAAATAAAAAAATTAAAATTCCAGTTTCGGCAAAATAAAAAAAAAAAAAAATAAATAAAGCGAAAAGAAATGGTGATAATAATTTTTTCTATGTAAACGAAAAAACTTTCTCAACTGAAATGTAAAAAAAAGAAACCAAACTATAAATGTAAATAATAAAATAATTAGTTCTAATAAATAGTTTATATGAAACAAATTAATGCTGATTCTTATAAATAACTAAAAGAATGCAAGGGAAGAGAATAAATAATCGATTATCCGATCTAGTGCTAAGGACAAGCATTAATTTAGCCATAAATAAAGCAGCTGACAAATTCTACATTTTATACAAAATCACAAGAACTTTAACATTGTTTTTTAATTGAATTTTCTTTAACAGTCGCTGGTAAGTGCGCTTGAACCAATTGAGAATTACAAGCACTCGCTCGATTTGCTTAGTTTTTACGTTCATCAATCTTAACAGCTGAGGATCTCAACAAGTAAGGCGCAGGGAGTTCGTTTGCCAGTGTTGTCAACTGTAGCAAAGGAAAAGCTAAAGGGAGTTTCTATAAAAAATGGCTAGAATAATATGTGAGAGAGAAGTAGAGGTTAACATTGTGCTTGTGGATGTCAAATGGTAAGAGTTGTTTATGATTTATAAATTTGTATAATTTACAAATATACATACGTATATCTATATACGTATATTAAAAATAAATGAACGATAGTAGTTTAATTTGGTGGTTTCACATGCATAAGTCGAGAGTCCCCAGATCTCAAGACCTGAGGGTATCAAAGCGTTTGTCTGAATCGTAACATACTTCTATCTTGTTTTATAGGTGATAAATGGGAAAAAGAAAATAAATAGGTCAGCAATATGCCTGTTATTTATATAAATATCCATAAAATGTTTCTCAGGTGTTGAAATATCTTGAAAAAAAGCTAAATTTGCCTTTGGTAGAAATCTCAGCATTGACTCGAATTGGCAACGCAGTTCAGTTTCATTGTAATTCCCAGCTTCAAGTGCTGCCACGGCATATCCTGCGCAGGCTCTGCTGCCTGTACGCCCGTACAAATAAGATGCATCCTGCTGTGGTTGTTGTTGCTGTTGCTGCTGCAGTGGAGTCGTCCTCTTGAGCCAGTGGCAAATCCTTTATGCGATTTGTAATTCATGAGCAGTGCGCACACAGATTCTTATCATTTATTTTGCAGCGCAAATCGGTATCGAGTGCCACACACAGACACACATACACACACACACACATGCATACAGATATATAAATATATATGTAGTCTTGACTATAACTATATTCATGGCAGCGCTGGGAGGTCGTCGCGACGATAGCTTAAGACGTGCGGAAACCAAATCGGCGTCGTAGAAAATTGAATTTGCTGCCAGCAGGGAGTCCAAGAGGCAGCAGCGCTAAGGGGGTGGCAGGAGAGCACACCCGTCTCTTCTGGCAGGGGGCGGGCTGTACTGGTACTGGTTCGGCCGAGCGTATTGGGCTTTTGTGCTCTTGACGCGGCCTGAAAACGTATGTGCATGCCTAATGAGCCATGAAATGCCAGCCACGGCGTCCTTTCTCCAAATTCTATTTCCCTTTTATGCCTTCTTTCACTTCTCTTTTTTGTCGGTGGGTAATCAGCGACAGCTGGTCAACACTTGACGCGATTGACCCTTAGATACACATACAGACATGCCCATGTACATATATAAATATAGATTATATATGTATGCATGTCTATGTACGTGCATTTGTGTATGTTCGCTGAGGGCTATGTAATTACAGCGTTGAGGGCTGCTGGCGCGTAAATCAAACAAAATCAACTCGACTCGCAGCGCTCTTAATTAAGTTTACACTCTCGCAATTCGATTTTCTTAGCGTGCGAATTGGCATGAGGGCAGCCATTGGAAGTGAAGACCGAACAGTAGTCAGGACGACCAGACGACAGGCGATAAATGTGGCACAGTCGTTGTCGAGAAGTTGACTTAATGACTGCTGTCATTGTGATTGTCATTGTCATTATCATGATCATTGTCATTGTCATTGTCATTGCCATTGTCATTGTCATTGTCATTGTCATTGTCATTGTCATTGTCATTGTCATTGTCATTGTCATTGTCATTGTCATTGTCATTGTCATTGTCATTGTCATTGTCATTGTCATTGTCATTGTCATTGTCATTGTCATTGTCATTGGCATTGTCATTGCCATTGTCATTGTCATTGTCATTGCAATTGTTATTGTCACTGTCATTGTCATTATCATTGTTATTGTCATTGTCATTGTCATTGCAATTGTCATTGTCATTGTCATTATCATTGTTATTGTCATTGTCATTGTCATTGTCATTGCAATTGTCATTGTCATTGTCATTGTCACTGTCATTAATATTGCCATTGCCATTGTCGTCTCAAAATTTATTGAAATGTATTCATATAAATATGTAAATATATTCAGTCTTTCAAGGCATTTAAATTTGTTCATATTTTATTTTTTGAAAGATACTTACTTATCTGAATAGATAGCAAATGTGAAAGTTTTGTCGCCTGCGGCACAGCTCAGGCTCAACTGAGCTCAGCTCTGCTTGATGGCCAATGTTCAGATAGGAAGCGAATAACTCGAGTGAGTGCTCAGCGATTCGTTGTAGTTGTTATATGAGTGTAAGTATTTGCAGCTACAGAATCATGAATGTAAGTGTGTGTGTGTGTGTGTGTGTGAGTGTGCGAATGTTTTGCCTTGGCCATGTGCAGAATTTTTCGTATTGACTTTTTCAGGCCAAAAAGGCGGCTGTGTGCTCAACATTTGCATAACTACTTAAAAATACACACAAACATACACACATATGTATTCGAATCAGAGTGTGCTTAACTGTGGGAGAGTGTATGTATGTGTGTGTGTGTATCTCAGCGTTAAATAAATAGTACTCATACGCGGCGTAATCATCAGAACTGCCACATAGGCTGAAAAACTTGATTTTTCTCTTTTTTTGCGACGTCCAGTCAAAGTTCAGGGCTGGTAATTTATGCAGCCACGCCCCGCCTGTACAGAGCCGCCCCCATTAGCATTAATTTTGTCGGGTCACGTAGGGCACTGAGCAGACGGCAGCAAGTGGAGCAATGCTGATGACAGACCGACAGCGTTTGAAATGTAATTTTCATTTGGCAACTTGACACACGGACAGACGGATGGAGGGATGGACGGACAGAGGCAAATTGAATGCCGCAGACATTTGGCCTTAGCATTTGTTTTATTGTAATTGCAAGTTTCAACAATTAGCAGCAAGCACAACGAGGCACATTTGCCGCCGCGCCTAAAAGCTGGCAACAAGTTTTTCGCTCTTTGCGCTCGCTTTTTTGCTCTTTTTAACCCCGTTTCGCATGGAATGCAATTGTAATGAAATATTACTATATTTAAGAGCTCGCAAATGGTCGACGCAAAACACAACGCACAGAGGGCAAAATATATTCCTGGAATTACAACTAGAGTTTTTTCTGACTAGTCGAATTCCAGCTTTGAAATCATTTCGTATAACAAACAAAACAATTTCGCGAATTTGACGCGAAAAAATGCAGAAAAGAAATTTTAATTTGGCATGGTACGAATAACAGAATGTTTAAAATTAGAAAAACCCAAGAAATATATGAAAATGAGGGAAATTCTTTAAAACAAAAGTTAGAAAAGTGAGAATTGATTTCTGGAATGAGCGTGGGCTATTCTCTGCTGGAATGCCAGTTCTTGTTATTGCTTTACAATGCTGGTATGCTATTTATATAGTATTTTTAATTGCTTTAACTAAGTTGATTTAAAATAAATTGGCTATATTAAGCGTAGAAAATTGAATTTTTTTCAATTTTTCTTTTTTTATATTTGACATTGCAACTAAAAATATAAGAAGAGCAGCACAAATTGAGTCTAGCCATAGCAAGCAGTATAGTAAATGACTACGATATACCCTGTATTCAGTTAATAATAAGTATACAAAGGATTTTATATTCATATGCATATATTAAACTTATCATTTATGTAACTGTTAAAAGACAAGAATACAAAAAATAAAATTTTTAAATAATAAAAATGCATTAAATTTAAAATATGTTCTAAAATAAAAAAAAAATACAATATATATACAATACAATATATATACAAAATCTTCTACTTATCAAAAGGAACAATCCTTCATACTTATAAGCATGAGGTAATACAGCATAGCACACAGCCACAAGAAGAATAAGAGAAATCTGTTGTCATGATTATCTATCGCATTATTGCGTGAGCTGTGTGGGCGTGGCTGGAGCAACATTTAGTTGGCCTCAACTGCAATAGACATAAATCAATGA